CCCACAGAAGTGGCCTTTGGTCATATTCTTTTTGCACAAAAAAATAATGTAACAAGCTTAGTATATGAGCATATATAAAGGAAGGATCAGGGATATGGAGTGGATAGAACATTAGGTCTTCTGTGACAGACTGTTTATGGGATGAGGGACTTTGCTGCAGAAGGAATGTAATGCCATAAGATATTACAAAGATCAAGGTATGTCACACTCCCTCATCGCAGTTCCACTCATCAGAGTTGTGAACACATTTATGTCTACTTAGTTTCACCAACTAATGCTTCAAGAAATGTAGAAGATTTATGGGTAATGTGTCATGACCAACTCTTACTACTATTTTCAAGTCCTCTGAACAATTTACAGAATCACACATAACTGGGCTTGTATTAGATATCCCAGCTCTGGGTTTAACACTTAAGTATCAGATGATACATTATTTGATTGAGTAGAGTAATAAGATATATGAGAGTCATGGATTAATAAAATAAACATTGTAAATTGCAACTTGTTCACATTAGAGCATGATGCACAGTCCTCAGAGACAGAAGGAGGCTCGGTATGAGATAGGTCATTAGGTTACTAAGCCTCATGCCCTTAATTTTCTTGACCCCCTGAATACCAAATGCTTTTAATTAGTTATATAATAATTTGGCCACTCTGGAACTCAGCACAGAGTCTGTGAGGCAGACTTACTAATATGTATGAACTTTATCAGCATGCGGTTCTTTGAACAATTTGGGGAAGTTTCTGTTATAACCAATGTTCTATGTTATGTTCATGCAAGTCAGGGTGGTTTACTCATTAGCAAAATTATGTTGTAGCAAAAATTCAGGTATCCTTATAACATATAGACTACATATGTAGACAGGATTTCAAGGAAAACCTTAAAGAGAGATGGAGATTTGACATCAGAGACAATCACTCAGCTCTGCTCTTGAGCTCTGTATATGCTGACCAGCACCCTAGACCTGAAAATCTAGAAGGAAGGTTTCTGGGCTCTGAAGTCTCCTTATTGTGATCTTTTTACAGTAATATACGACTGTGTCCTCACCTCTCAGGCTTCTGACATTGAGATAAGGCTGTTCTTGGAATTACCTATGAAGTCGGTGAATAGGTACTTTATGGATGGTATCTAGCTTGCTATAAAAGTTGCGGTTACTTTCTCCAATCCACTTCAGTTTCTGTGTCCCACTATATCTATCTATCTATCTATCTATCTATCTATCTATCTATCTATCTATCTAATTACATTGACACAGAATGTTAATTCATCAGCTGCATGGGAAAGCCTCAGGGACCTCTAGGTTTAACTGAGACTCTGCAAGACACAACTAGCTATACACCTGCAAACAAATAAATATTGGGTTAGGAAGCTATGGTATACATGTGTATCTTCTACAACGCATGTTAACTTACATACTCAGTATTTCATATTTCCACAAATTACTTTTTAAAAGAGCACCAAGAAACATTTACCTCAGCTTCTACTCCATTTTTCTTTAGTCTTAAATATTCAATTTACCAATAAAGAATCAGGAACCAGATGCTGTGGTGAAAGCTAGGCCATAGAAAAAGAGTAAGCACCTAGCTTATCTTTCTCTGCATCCAAAATTAAAAAGGAGCTTCTCCTCCATGACAAAAACCCTCCAGTTTCAGTGTCCCTGTCTTCAACTTCCTGTACACCTCTCTTTCAAATCTCTATTTACTCTCCACGTTTTTTTCCGATATGCGTTCCCTATTAATTAACTCTTTGCTCCACCTCTCAAGATATGTTTGACTTTATTTAATCTTCTATATAATTAGCGAAAGATATTGGATTAGACATGTTTGCTATGGCTTAATCACACCACAACAATAAATCGATTTTTGCAGTAAATAACAAACCCATAGGAGTCACTGTGTAACAAAATATCCTACAACAGACTGTCTTCATCAGTGATCACTAAATGAGAAAATCTGGGAATCCAGGACTGAGTCCCTCTGCCTCAGTTGCAGAGATAGGGCTCTGCTGGTTTCTATGAAAACAAGAAGGCTCATTTGCTTTTCCACTTCCAGCATATACTTGAAGTCTTAGACTTATGAATGCCTTAAGAGAGACACCACTGAGAATACAAAAAACTCTAACAACTATAGCCCAAACTATTATATATTCTAATGTAATTTAATGTACTTTTAATGAAACTCAAGTCCTTATTGCAATTTGGTTTTACCTATATGCATTCCTCTGCCTTATTTGATTCACAGAAGGCATCAACATTCAGTTTGATAGTTTTAAAAGGATTAAAATGTTTATGAATGCTGGACCCTAATATTAATTGATATGTTACTTTTAATAATATAACTTAGTGATTATTCATGCTACAGACCATTGGGTGATAACAGCTGTCAAAAGTAAATATTTGTAAGTTCGACACAGTATTTTTCTGTGCTAACTTTTGAAAAGAATTAAACTATTGTGTCTATTTAATTTATTCCTCATTTGTTAGCCATATTTTATACGGAGGTTCAGTATTGCAGGTCTGTGATTAATACACTTTTAAAGTTATAAAGGAGTATGTCATTGAATAATGAAAGATGAAGATATACCTAAGCTTCCATTCTGAGGCATGCTGTGACATCCATCTATATCTCAAGTCTTGATCTATCCAGAACCTGGCCCTTCCATACTGATTGTGGGTGAGATTCAGCAGGAGGAAATTCTCTGTCAATGAGTAAAGATGGTCAGTTCCTAGGTTTCAATTAAGATATTCATTTAAATCTGAGGCAAATTATCTTCATGGTCACTGAGCCTTTGTATTGTGCCATTTTCTGTTCTGTAGCTTTAGGGGACATTAACATGGAGTGTAGGAAACAACTGCTATGATCTCTATCAGGTCTCGTATATTTCAAGGCAAGGGTTCTAACTGACATAGGAGATGGTGTCTTGTGGCTTTTCTGTGGTTAACTAAGAAAAAAAAAATGTAGAGTTAGGAAACACCCTTGTTAGCTCCTAACTGAACCCGTTCCTCAGGATATACGCAGCTCATTTATTGAAATATTTCCTTTCTGATGGCTCATGTAAATAGATATTTGCCAATTTTCACAGGAACAATATATCTTCCCAGTAGACATTGTTCTATCTTCTGTGTTTATCAAGCTGACACATGGCTTCATTTTCTTTATCTCACTCCTATGTTAGTGTAGCATTAAAATGTTTGTTAGGCAATATTATAGTTTCTCAGAAGTAACTTATTGGCCAGAAATATTGTTATATCAATCTTGTTTAAAACTGCTTCATCAGGGCAGACATAAAAAAGAGAACAGAAGCTTTCACTCTGCTTGAGAAATCCTGGCTGTCCAATCAGGAAATGATACTATGAATCTTCCACTTGTCCAGACAATTCAATTCTAACAACAACTCAATATTCACTTACTAATCATAGTCTTTTTTTAAGTTCCCCCTATTGCAAAGGTAAAGGAACCCCTCCCTTTGCCTACCCATGATTCTAGGAGAGCCTGAAATCCAAGGAACTCTTTGATCTAATTTCAAAGTTCAGGGATGGGTAGAAATTTGTTGAAAATTCTGATTTAGGGATGGATTCAAGTCAGAGTAAGGAGGTTTTTTCTTTAACCCTCTTCCCAGGATCAAGTCTGTATTAGGCATTTTTCTCTTGGCACTGTTAGTATACAAATTGAGATTTCTAGTCATCTGGTCATATTTCCAAAGCTTGTTGTCTTTGATCTGAGTCAAAAAGATTGTTTAAACCAAAGAATCCCATTGTGATTTATTGTTGTTGTTGTTATTTTTATTGTTGTTGTGGTTGTTTTGTTATTTTGGAGAAAACTTGTCAAATATAAACATGGGTTGATGAAAGAGTCATTTCTATAGCGATACAGAACAATTTGTCTTTGCATACTATGATTATGTACTCATAATTAAAAAAAAATAGACCCAAAAAGAAACTTTCTTATTTAGACTTATTTGAGTGATCATAAGATCAAAAGTAAAGAGAAGTCCTCACTGGTCCTTGTTGCATCAAAGCTCCAAGTGTTTCAGAGTTGAGTGCCACACATCTACATGCTTGCACAATGTCTCTTACTATTACACAATGCTATATTCTGTGATGACACAGTCTGTAATAATTTCTCCGGGGATGAGTTTAAGAACCCTGTCATTAACTGTATCCCATACATCCTGTCAGTGTTGGACAGAGCTTAGGTTGTCGTAAGTATTCCATGAATTTTTCTAGAAATTTCTTCATGAAATTATATAGGTGTCAGTCTGTAATGGGGTGTGTCATTTCTCTTTGATACACCAAATAGTTTTATACAATCTGACTTCTCTGGAGGAACAGAATTGAGAAACATATTTTATATGTTTGTATACATAAATTTACATGATATATAAGCATACACATATACATATATGCATGTACACACGCATAAACACAAACACACACACACACACACACAAACTAGACTATCTCAAGTAAGTCCATAAATGATTGTCTCTTGAAGGAAAGATCAATAATCCAATAGTTGTTTGTTTCATCAGGCAAGATGTCTTAGCAGTCCATCATTATATAACTGAATACTGAATAACTATGGTGAAATACCACCTAAGGAATTGTTCAGAACTAGATATATGAACTTCCCAGTGATAATGAGAGCAAGCAAAGAATAAGGAAAAGTTTCCTACACTGTGTCCTTTATGAAGGCAACACCCATAGTATTGGTACCACCCATTCAACAAGTGAAGGAAGCACATTACAAACCAAAATAGTCTGTATTAGAATGGGTAAGATGAATCAGTTTGAGACTGAAACATCCATTTCTGTTTTCAGATGGTGAATTGCTCAGTTATATGGAGACCACTGCAGATTGATCAGGAAGGAAAGCTACTCTTGGAAGATGCCCTCACCTACCCAGGTCCATTTACACAATAGCTCCTGTCCCTGGGTTACATGTCACTGTGCTCCCCCTGCTGGTCGTGAGAGCTCCTGCGGGAAGGATTGTGTCTAGGTTCACAATGAAGGCTTCTCACTGTGCCTTGCACAGTAATAAATGCCAGTTTCTTCAGCTCTTAAGCTGCTCATTTGCAGGTAGACACTATTTTTGGAATCATCTCTCGAGATGGTGAATCTGCCTTTCACAGAATTCGCATAATATGTTGCATAATTATTAGCTTTGTTTTCAATTTGAGCAAGCCACTCCAGCCCCTTCTCTGGAGCCTGGCGGATCCAATTCATCGAGTAGTCACTGAAAGTGAATCCAGAGCCGGCACAAGAGAGTTTCATGGACCCTCCCGGTGTCACCAATCCTCCTCCAGACTCCTCCAGTTTCACATCACTCTGGACACCTGAAAACATACAGAATCCTGTCAGTAAGCCATCTAATTATTCAATGTCCTTCTCACTCCCATTCACTCACACGCAGTAACTCTTATTATCTATGAGTTACCTTTTAACAGAGCAACAATAAAAACACATCTCAGTCCCGAGTCCATGGTGAATATTCTCTGTCTGTGTTGATTACTGAACAGATAGACTTGTGAGTCCAGTTTTATGTGTCTCTGTCAGAGCTTTATGGTCAGGGCTGATTTTCATAAGCAGAATTGAACATTATTTGCATACCTTCTTGTTATATCAGGAGCTCAGTGGTGGGAGGCATAGAGGGACCAAATTCTATTGTGATGTTTGAGAAGTAGGAAAGGATGAAGTGGCATTATACCATCAAATTATCATTTACTGTTTTATGATTGCACCTCCGTTGACAGAGGAATTTGTGTGTGCCTGAGCCATGTGTTTATTCCCAGTGCTTCAAGAATATTTAAGCAGTGGACAAGGGATAATCATCTTTCAGTTATACATAGGCTATTTGAACTGTGTCTCAAAAAAGAAAAGGAGTAGATAGAAAATAAAAAAAAAAGATTTTGGATACATTTTTCCTTATATATAGTAATATAAATTTACAGCCTCACTGTTTTGTGCTTTATACATCCAGACACTTTTGCTGTGTTGGCAGAAACATGAAATTAATTCACAGGGAAATAAGATAAGAAAGAACTTAAATGTTATGATTTATAAATTAGAAAAACTTTTAAAAGCCTCAGTGAAATACAACTGACTACATTAAATTGAAGTAAAAATCTGTAGAGGAAGCTATAGCTCAGTGTTACAGTAAAGCATGAGCAAAGCTCAAAATTTAATTGTAGAACTTTATAAAATAAATCTGAATTTCACTTGAGATTATTTCTGTATTCAAAATGTCCACATACATTGAAGGTCTGTGTGTATTGCTTAGTTCTTCCAGAGCTGGACATTCTCATTCACCAGGAGTGGGATTAAATCTGATGTGTAAAAAAGATTAAATAAAAGTAAAACAATGATATCTCTGATTACTGTTGACCAATAATAAACACATTTTGAAAATCTGTGTTTACCCATAAATCCTTTGTGACTAACCTCATAAATATCCCTGTGTCAGCAAGCTCTTTCCATAACTGAGGTATGCTGAGCTGTATGATAACATGATTCTCCATACCCTCAGTTATATTTTCTACTTCCAGATCCACATGCCTGTTTGACACTACAGTGACTTCCCTGTACAGCTACAATTAGGATTTTAGTTTCTTTACCAATCCATCTTAGCACAAGCACAGTGAGGACTTGCCGTTTCCTCCTCACCACCTGGTAGCACTGCTCCTCTATACCTCAGAACCCTCTCTTTACTCTGTGACCTCCTCAGCCTTACAACAATTTGACTCTATTCTGTCCCATCCAGTGTTTCTGTGGTCTTGCCTCTGTGATCTTGGGTAGTCACTCTGCTACACCCTATATTTCTCCCACTTCCGCTAATATCTCAGCTCACTCTGATGCCAAATGTATGATTAACCCAGTACTTTCCACATCAACACTTAAGAAAAGGCTTGCTCATTTTATCTCTAATACACCTGCTTTAAATCTCCAGGATCTTCCCAGAATTTCAAAATAAGCTCTGCACCTTCTTACCCCAGAAATCTAAGGATTACACACCAAATACAGCACATTCAAATAGAGCCTCCAAACCCGGATTTCTATACCACAAAAAAAGTGAAGTGCATTTAGATGTGTTCTGTCTACCACACAGATTATAGCAGAACCTGAAAACAAGAGGATGGAGGAAGACTAGCAGCCCTGAAAAAGAATTTCATAAAATTCTTTATGAAATTGCAGTACTCTTTCTTGAACTAGTCATCTCCTTTACACTGCACATACAACTAGAGAATAAATGCATTTCTTCTTTTTTGAGATTTTAATATGAATATATCTATTCCTTTTCTCTCATCCAAAACCTTATACATACCACATGAACCCTCTCTGCTCTGTTTCAAATACACAGCTTCTTTTTCCATTAACTGTTGCTATACACTCACACAGATACACACACACAAACACAGTTACACACACATCAGAAGGCTCTAAAGCAAACATCTAGGAAGGAATCAAATACGCCATCAGAGACACACTGGTGGCTATATTTACTTCATGTAATCAAAGACACATACATATCTGTTAATAGTGATGATAGATTTACTCATATATAGATATACCTGAATTATATGAACAGGGTTTCACATTTCTCACAATTCTCCCTGAAGAAATGCTAACATCTTAAACATATATTTGTTGAGAATGATTCTCACACATATCATTATTCAATAAAAATTACTACCCTTTACATATAATGGTACAGTGAACATTAAATAAGGGATTCTTGTATTTTTCATAAGAATAGATCAAATAATGTGTTTTTTTGAGAAATATACCCAGTGGACTCAAATCTGAAAAGTTGGCACCTGGTTGGTAGTGCTGTTTGGGGAAGTTATGAAGCTCTTAGGACATGGAGCTTTGCTGGATTGAGTACATCACTGTGTTTGCAATTTATATTTTCTCCAACTTCCAGTTTGCTCTCTTAGACTCTCGTATCATGAAAAGTGATCTTCATTTACCTCTCCTGGTTCTGCTCTCTTGACTTCCTTTCTGTTTTGACCTCCTATGGAACCAGAAGCCAAGGTAATCTCATCTTCCCACAGAAGTGGGATTTGGTCAACTTTCGTTATACAAACAAACAAACAGGACTCATATATGGGCATATATAAAGAAGGATCAGGTTTGAGGAGAAGAAAGTACATTGGAACTTCTGTGACAGACACTGGGGGGGGGGGGGGGCGAGAGACTTTGCTGCACCTTGAAAGTAATGCCAGAAGGTATTTAGAAGATCAAGGTAAATCACATATCCATGTCTCTGTGCAAATCTTGAGTCTTATGATCACATTTATGTCTACTTAATTTCCACAAATAATCCTTCATTTCCCACAAGTGTAAAAGGTTTGTGGGTAATGTGTCATGACATAGTCTTTCTTGTATTTCCAACTCCTCTGAAATAGTAACAACTTCACACATAGTTGGACTTTTATTAAATACCTGAGCTCTGGGTGTTGAACTTGGAAATAACAAGTCAAATTTTAGGCTTGAATAGAATGAGAGATATGAAATGAAACTCATAGTTTAATAAAATAACATTTCCTAACTGAAACTGTCTCATAAAATGCCTGATTCACAGTCCTCAGAAACAGAATTTCTTGAGATTTATTATGTCTTATAGGCTACTGTATGCAATGCCCTTAATTTTGCTGACACTCTAGAATACAAAACACTTTTAGTTTAATGGTTATATAATAATTTATCACATTGAGACTCTATCCAGTGTCTGTGGGGGCATACCTACAAATATCTATGAACTTTCTCAGCATGTGAATCTTTGATTAATTAGGAGAGGTTTCTGATATAAACAATATTCTATGTTACATTCATGTGACCCAGAGTGGTTTATATTTTTTAAAAAAATAATATACATTGTACCAAAAATCCAAATATTCATATATCCTACTGACCACATATACAGACAGTATTTCAAGGAAAACCACAAAGAGAGGTGAAAATATGACACCAGAGAATAGCATTCAGTTCTGCTCCTGAGCTCCATAGGTGCTGACCAGACCGGTCCTGAGGATCTGGAAGGTAAGTTTCTATCTGGGTCCTGAATTCCCATCATTGTGTATCTTCTGCAGTGATGTATGAGTGTGTCCTCAACTCTCTGACTTCTCACTTTCAGATAAGGCTGGTTCTGAAATTATCTATGGAGTTGGTGAATACGTACTTTATGAAAGGCATATAGTTTGCTACCAAATTTGTTGTTACTTTTTTCAATCTACTACAATGTCTGGTTCCTGCCATATATATTTCATTCAATTGATACAGAATGTTAATCAAAAGACTGCATGGGAATGCCTCAAGGACCTCTGACTTTTCCCCAAAGCTCAAACACAACCAGGTATATACCTGGAAAGAAAGAAAATATTGGTTAGAAAACTTTCATACATGTCATCCAGAAAATAAAACATGTCCACTAACATGTTCAGTATCTAATTTTCCCACAAATTACATTTAAATAGAGTAATGTGAAAAGTTAAACTCAGCTTCCACTCCAGGTATTTCTTTTTAAATTTCAAATATCCAATTTTCTAATAAAAACTTAGATACCAGATGTTGTAGTGAAAGCATGCTAGCTCAGAGAAAAAAAGAAAGCACTCATCTGACCTTCCTCTGCACCCAAAATTCCAAAAGGAACTTCTCCTCCATGCCACAGAATGCTTCAGACTCAATGTCCCACCCTTCTATATCTTGGGCACCTTTTAAAAAGTCCTCCACTTACTGTCTATTATGTTCCCTATGTGAACTCTCTGATAACTCATTGCTTACTCCATCACTTGTCCTACGGTTGACTTTATTTAATCTTGTATACAATAAACAAAAAGCTATTGGCTTAAAGATGTTTATGATGTCTTAATCATACCAAAACGTAAACAGGATTTTCAGTAATTAACACAATTATGGGATTATTGTGTGATAAAATATCATGCAGGAAACTGTATTCATCTCTGAACACTAAAGGAAGTACTGGGAATCCAGGGCTGGTCTCCCCTGCCACAGTTGCAGAGACAGTGTTGTGCTGCTTTCTACGAAGCCAACAAAGGTCATTTGCTTGTGGTCCTCCAGTATAACTAGTTCTGTGGTAGAAATCCTAGAGATATGAATGCCTAGAAGATACAACACAGAGAAACAAAAATAGAATTATAGAACAAACTATTATGTATTTTTTAAATGTATGTATTTGTAATAAAATTTAAATCTTATTTTACTTTTTGTCCATGAGCATCCCTCTGCATTATTAGATTTACAAAAAACATCCACATAAAATTTTAGAGCTTGGAATAGATTAAAAATCTTTATGAATGTTGTGTCCAGATATTAATGATATAACTTACTTTAAAAATCCATTGTTGGTTGGATGCAAACTGGCACAATCACTCTTGAAATTATTTTAGTGGTTCCTCAGAAAACTTAACATAGCATTACCTGTGGACCCAGCTATACCACTTCTGGGCATAAACCTAGAAGATACTCCAACATACAACAAGGACATATGCTCCACTATGTGTATAGCAGCCTTATT